TCAATGCAAGAGTAAATGTAAATTTTTTCTTTAATTAATTATTTTTTAACAGAATCAAGGCACGGGATACGCACTAAATATTTTTATAGCACAGTACGATAATGCAATAAAATTTTTCTTATTTAGCACACAGTGGCTCTTTAAATTTATATTTCTTTCATATGCGTTTTTTTCAGAGACCATAACGATTATAAGAAATAAAGTTAATTATTGCTCCATAATTATTATTGAACAATGGAAAAGTTGTTTTCGTCTCGCGGGACGATTATTTCAAGACGAATATTATTGACGTCTTCTCATAATAATTATATGGGCTTAATATTTTTTTTCGTCTCTCCGGACGTTTATTTCGAGACGAATATGATTTACGTCTTCTCATAATAATTAGATGGGCTTTTAATTTGTCGTCTTATTTCAAGACGAATATGATTGAATGAAAAAAATTTTTTTTTTAATTATAGTTGCATTTATTTGTTGGATCTGCTTATTTTACATCTATTAAGCCTAACAACAAGTTTAAAAATCTTACGTATAATTTTACAATAATGTAGCTCAAACCCTGGGGTTGAGCCCTGTTGGTTTAACGTCGCTCAATGAAAGGCTGGTAGATCTCTTCTTCGCAGGCGTGTTATATTTGTTGTGTTGCACAGGCCACTTGCTAGTGGATTTGGGTGGTTACGCAGTTTTATTTTGTATTTTTCTCTGCTGCTGTCGATTACAGATTTAACCATCGGTATACCAAGGTCTCTATGTATATTTTCATTGCGGACATACCCGGTGCTCCTGCTAAGGCCCTTAGCGTTTTAGATTGGAATCTTGGGATCCTGTCAATGTTGGTTGCACAGGTCGTACCCCACAGTTGAATACCATACATCCATATAGGCTTAGTCACTGTATTATATACAAGTACTTTATAATCTAGTTTCAGTTTTGATTTACTGTTTATAAGCCAGTTCACGCTAGCTGACTTTAGCTTCATTTGTGTAATCTTGGTTGATATGTGTTCTCGCCAAGTTAGTCTCATATCCAAGTGTATTCCTACATATGTCACCTCATTGGCTTGTAGAATATGGACATTATTTAATTTGATTGGGGGGCATCCTTGCGGTCTGAGTGAAAATGTTGTATGCTTACTCTTCTGTTCGTTGACTTTATACGCCAGTTTGCCAGCCATTCTTCTATGCCTAGTAAATGTTCCTCTAGTACTCTTGAAGCTCTGTTGGGACATTTATTACGACTTACTAAGGCGGTATCATCAGCGAAGGTGGATGTGAGTATATTCTCGCTAGTTGGAATATCTGAAGTGTAGATGATATACAGCATAGGCCCGAGTACACTACCTTGAGGAACGCCAGCCGTTATCGACATGTCTTCTGAAGTGAAATTAGATACATTAGCAGCAAATTTTCTGTCAGTTATGTATGATTCAAATATTTTATGGAATTCCGGCGGCAACAATTTTTTAATTTTATATATAAGACCGCCGTGCCACACTTTGTCGAATGCTTGTGCCACATCGAGAAAAATTCCAGAGCAGTACTCTCCGAGCTCAAATGCCCTTCTGATTTCATTTGTAATTCGACTAACTTGTTCAATTCTACCATGTTTTTCTCGGAAGCCAAATTGGTGTGCTGGTATTAAATTGCGTTCATGGAGAAAGGGAGATATCTTTGATAGGAGTACTTTCTCGAATACTTTGGAAAGACAGGGCAGTGAGCTGTGTTGCGTCTTTTCTAGGTTTGGCTATTTTGATTATCTTCGACCTTTTCCATGATTTCGGAAAGTAACCGAATTTGAGGATAGCGTTGAAAAGGTCAGAAAGAATTGCTAGTGCAACATTTGGTAGCTCTATTAGCATTTTCGGAGTTATAAAATCAGCACCCGGCGATTTCTTTGGATTAAGCTGCTTTACTATAGCTTTTACTTCTAAAGGGTTCGTCTTGCTAGGTGTGTATAGCTCATTTGTATTTTTGGTTAGCCGTGGCAGCCTGAAGTTGTTCGTTGGACAGTTTGGCTGAAACACATTCTTTAAATGGTGTGAAAAACACTCGGCTCTCTCCTGCTCACTGCGAGCCCAGGTTCCACTTTGGTTCCTAATTGGCATTTCTGTAGCCACTGATGGTTTCAAGTATTTTAGCGATTTCCATAGAGAGTATCTTTCAGTAGAATTCGGGGAAAGCTTCTTAATGTACCTTTGCAAGTTGCGATCCTCTGCACGTTTGAATGCTTGTTTCAATTTTCTACTGGCAGCTTTATACAGTAGCTGTGAGGTTGGTGAGCGATGGCTCTGCCACTGTCTTCTTAGGCGTCGCTTTTCTGCCACAAGTTTTTCTATTTCGGTATTTGTAACTGATGTATGCGTAGGTGGTACTTGGACTTGATTTGGTGTTGCCAGGGCAGCGGCTGAAGTAAAGGTTTCTTTAAAATGTTCAACAAGGGAGTCTATATCACGCTCGCAGTTAAGTGCAGCGTTTAATTTAAGGTGACTACTGATGTACTTTTTATATTTAAGCCAGTTGGTGTTACTTGAAGTTAGACGAGGCTCAATTTCGATATTTTGGGTCTGTTCATATAGTTTTATTAATATAGGGGAGTGATCGGATGATAGTTCAGGTAGAGTTTCTGCCGTTATGTTATTTCTGTATATGTTTCTCGTAATTGCGAAATCTATTAGGTCTGGTATCTTCTTTATATCGGTGGGCCAGTAAGTAGGTTTACCAGGAGATGTGACCTCTAGTCTATTGTGCCTGTTTATAATGGTATTGTATAGCTGCCGCCCTTTTGGGTTAATAAGGCGTGATCCCTAGTACGTATGCTTTTCGTTGAAGTCGCCTCCTGCCAGGAATCTATTACCCAGGCTATCAAAGAAATCTTTAAAGTCATTTTCAGAAATTAGCGAAACTAAAAAAGATATTTCTCGTAAATATTTATTATACAAAGACGAAAAAAATTTCTCTTAAAACAAGGCGACGTTTTTGATCCTAAATATTAGGATAATAATTATTTCCGGTCTCTGTTTTTTTTGTATTTCTCTTCTTTTTTGTTGTTGCTTGAAGTTACCGCTCTTTTCTTACACTTTGACAGTTTCCTACAAAATAACAAGAAAAGAACCGTAAATAGGTTTGTGAAACTTTTACCGTGTTCTGATGTGAACGGCGACATGTACTAGGTTGGCGTTTCACAGTCTTTAAATGCTTTGATTTCTGGTCAAGGAAGGGCTGTGTAATCCGTTTTAGTCGTCAACAATCAAACTGAAGGCAACCTCCTAAGGCACAGCTTGCTCCACAACATAATTTTGGACCTATCACAATCTCCAGTGTGTTCTGATGTGTACGCTGGAAGTGCCATCGAAATCAAGGAGTGGCAGCCGTGTTCTTATGTGAACGACAACGTGCACCCAAAACGGGCGTACCCAGACTAAGACTGGTGGCTATTGCAGGATCACAAAATATGTTAACCAATTGGCTTTGTTGTGGTGGATTCCGGCCTAGGAGTATAGGGACGCAGATCCGCCTAGCCAATAAGATTGCGCAAAGGTATCCAGTTCTGTGACCGTGGAGGCTTCAAAGGTTTTCACGTTCTAATTCTTTTGATATCGTTAAAATTTACACGTGTCGAAGATTTCACTTCCTTTCATTCTTTGTTATAATATTTGATTTAAGTATGTACCTGAGGGCCTTCGGGGTCACAGGACATTTTGCACTATTATTATTCCTGTATCAGCCAACAAGGACTGACAGGAGAGGACGTAGTAATTTGTAGTCTAAGCCTGAGGTTCATCGGGGTCACAGGACTTAGCAGTGTTGAGTTAATTAACTTATTGCCCTTATGAGCCTTTTTGACAGCTTTATTTTTATTATTTAAGTTGTTTGACCTATTCTAGGAAGAGGAGCTTTTATACTCTGGAGTGCCCCGTGGGGATCGCAGAGCTAAGCTAATATTATAAACCGGAAGGTCCCGATGGACCACGGTTTCGAAATATTTTGTTATGTGGATGTACAAGCCTTTTGTTATAATTTTAATTTTTTATATCACTTTTTTTGCACCAACACTTTGCCACTACCGCTTTATCACATCACTTTCCATCACCTGCAGCAATCATTCGGGAAGGATTCCCACAGTTAAGGGGATCCTTCCCAAAGGGGTCCCACGGTTAAGCAGGCTCCTCCCAAGGACCCACATTTCAGTGGGTCCCTGCTCGGGCACCACTTAACGAATACGCGGATGCGTGCCCGAAAAAATTAAAGTTGGGGCCACCCCGCGGCCCCAGGTTTCTCTAAGGATAGAAATGAAAAAGGAGATAAGCAGTACAAGTGTATATTTACCATTGAGCTCCCAAATAATAATGAATACAAAATATTACTTAAAGCTATCGCTAAGTATCTAAACGGCCCGAATTTATTGATTAGTAGCTGACGCTGCGCTTCCCACGATTTGCATTTTGTTTGTATAAAACCAATTGGTATCGCTTACGTTGCAGGTCAATTACCTGCACTGGCTATGCGCGTGTTTGGCGAAGTGCGGCGTCAGCACATTCACGTAAGTAAGTGTGTTGGCCCCCTTGTTAACTTATATATTACGTAGTATCTCGCATAATTACTCGTTTCTATTTTATTTGTGTCTAACTCCCGTTAAACTAATCACATGTTTTGCTTAAGCTGCTAAAAGGAAATTGTACCCGAGTGAGCGTTCTTTTGTTGCTCGTTTACAAAAAATGTTTCTAATGTATGGAAGAAAAATAAAGTTATCGAATCGAATGTTAACTCTTACAAAGCATGGCATTGGGGTAAGATTTAAATATACATATATTTTTGTTAACTTGTAGTTAAATATTTTTTTAAATTCTTTTTACATTCAAAAGTTTGAACCATTTCAGCCGCATATTCGGAATAAAACGCTAATGGGTAATTTCCACACAAAGTGCTATTTTTTGTCCCCCTTTTTTAAACGAAAAATCAAAAACAGCACTATACGATCCAAGTAATTAACCACCTACAAACCTGTAATTTTTGTTTTCCTGGGTTGGAGCTGCTTCCGCCGATGGAGTAAAAAGGCGAAGTGTTTAAGTTGTTTTCTTGTCTCTCCTACGCGTTTCGACACTCCCGTATCATCTTCACAGAGCCTGTTTTATGTAAACGGTAAACAATAAACATGAAGCAAACCATGATTAACAATGGAAAGTAATACATACATCTTCTATATATATAAAATAATAGCCGTTTTCGTTGCTCGGAGCTAACTCAAAAACTACTGCATATATTTCGGTCAAACTTTCAGAGGTTATACCTTGAATATATGGTCCTGGAAAACACGTCTACAAAAAATAAACCCGCTAGGTGGCGCGGGAGTCGAGTTATTTATAAAAGTCGTATTTATGAACCGATTTCGTAAGCATGGTGAAAAAAGCACTTGCGAAAAAGGACCAGCTAGGTGGTGCTGGAGTCGAGTTATTTATAAAAGAGGTATTTATGAACCTGTTTTTTTAATACACGTTCGAAGCGTTTAATGATAATTTTTTTTAATTCGAACCATATTCAGCCTTATCATGGTTTCCATGTACTTACTATGGGGGGAATCAAAACTTTCGCGTAAATTTTTTTTGGGCGAAACTTAGGATAAGGAAGATTACATACATAAAATGATAGCCATTTCCGTTTTTCGGACTAAACTCAAAAACCACTCAATAGAACCCAGTCAAATTGTCGAAGGTCCTATTATTTCGTTCAAATTCGCAGCGTTACTACCTGTATTATGAACAATTCCTTTGCTAAAAATGGACCCGCTGGAGTTTAGGTATTTAGAAAATCCGTGTTTTTTATAAATCTGATTGAAATTCATAATTCGTACTAATTTCATGACAACCAAAAATTTTGCAAAAGAGGACCCAATGGATAACGCTGCACCCGAATTATATAGAAAACCCCACGGGGTTTGTGTATCTTAGACGAATTTGTTTTTCACATGGCTAAATCAAGGATGCGTTTACACACTGTGTCAGCGTGATCTTGAATCTACCTCCGATTGACGAAGTTGCTCGAGGCGGCCGTTATTACAGCAGTAAGACTCAAAGAAACCAATTCATAAATATTAAGACGAATTGTAAAAGTGGGGAATTTACAAGGAAAGATTCGACCACATCTGTCCCAGAAGGAACACGATAGGTATATCAATGGCTTCATTTGAACGATATTCATGAGGTCATACGACTCATTTAGCCAAGGTACGCGAACACGTTTCATCCTGTGGGGCAGCGGGGATTCTTGGCCTTCCTATAATTGAAAACGCTCATCTGTGCTCTTGAGTTTCCGTATAAGGACTTTTATTGGCTTACATGGTACACCGGACCAATGCTGAAGTTGCATGATCATAGGAGAATATTACGCACGCTTGGCAGAGATATCACAGGTGGAAATAAGACCATAGGTAAATCGCATTACATCGAAAGGGATTAGTATTCCATATGGAAACACAGCGCTACTATTCTTGGCATATGTGTGAAGAGGATTCCGTTTTTTAGTCGTGTAAATTTAAACTAAAAAATTTTACAAAAGATCTTATTAGGCGCCGCGAGGCAAGCGGGCATTTGCTAGTAATTGTATATGTACGTACATCTAAATCTATATCTACAGTATTATATGAAATTGATTATATGGTAATTGTTTGTAACGACTTATTTCTCAAAGTACTAAACCGATTTTAACAATTATTTTTTTTTTTTAACGAAGCATTTGTAAAAAGAAACAGAGTGGCATACTTATGTTTTTATTCTTGGAAGATAAGCACCCTTTTTTGGGTGTAAAGTTACAAAAAATTACAAAGACGTACAAAAGCATAATAGCCAAGTTATGCGTACTTAGCTTTGCATGAGAATTGTAAGATAATGTTAAATTGGCTTTGCGTGTAAGCGGTTAGTCAGGGAGGGACAGTTGAAACTTTTGGTGTGGTAGTTGCGCTCTTTGAGAAGTAAATGCACAAACTCTCACTTCTCGTACAATATTAAAATAGCTTAGCGGGAAGACCTCTGACTCCAACATCGATGGATCGCGGTGGTGGCAGCTGTGATTCAGATTTAATAAATTTAATTTTAAATATTTTTAGTGAGCTTTGTACCTCGATTGTTTATTAGAAAAAATTTAAAAAGCACCAAAGTCTAAGCGGTAGAAGTTATAGCACTATTTCGAAGATCACCACATCTCCTCATCAGACTTCTTTTTTTCAGCAGGGATCGAACCTGCGTATTCGATATTCAAAGTCAGAAGCGTTAACCACTGAGCTATGTACATCCCGTAAACTCTTGTTGCTAATTCATTTACCTTATTCAACCAAGAGTTCGCTCTACTATAAACAATTTACAATGGCGTCCTTTATATACATCGAGGGGGCCATTAATAATGTCAGTGTAGATTCCATCCATGAGGCACTTATGGAAACAGGGATTGATCACTGTGTCCGGGCTTGGATAGTGTCTCTGCTAAGGAGCAGAGTAATAC